GGAAATCAGTTTCCTAAGGATTCGTAAGAAATCGATTTTTCGGCATTTTTTTCAAAAAATAACTTTTGAAAGAAGAGCTCGATCAGCACAAACTTGACCACTTATAAATAAAACATAAGATAACTTAGGATGATGGCTGTTCTGGATTTTATCGCACAGTTCGTAGATTTTTAGAATTTTTGCTTTTAAAATCCGAATTTCGGATGTTCTCGTTCTTTCATTTTTATCTCTGCAACCTGAGCATGTTGGAAAGTCCCCGGGGGACCTTTGGAAACTACATGCTTTACTCTTTCAGACAAAATTTGAGCTGCGCAAAATCGTTGTGATGAAAAGAAGTTATGATTTTTTGAACATGGTGCGAACGAACTTTCACCAAACTTGGCCACTATACTTCGAGTGTGGAAGCGTGTCGTGGGTTTCTTCCCGTTATTCATCGATATCAATTTTACCAATTTTTGCAGATTTCGAGCTGCGGGGCTGGGAATTGGCACGGGAATTAAGTGAGCATGTTAATTACGGCTTTACCGTTTATATTGTTTTATTAACAAGGATGCCAACTAGTAATCAGTAATTAATCAAAGCATAGTTGTTATTATTTGCAATCACCATGACTCGACTCTTTGTGTCGACTCCCACCCCTTGCTTAAAGGTTGCAAATAATCGATCAGAACGATAAAAGTAATGACTATTTTTACAAACGATTATTGTGTTTGTGAACAGCATGCTCCCCCCCCCCCCCCCTCCCCCTCCCTCTATCCCAACTCGCAGCCCGTAGCTGGAAGTTTGAAAAAATCTGCAAGATGATAAAAGTAATGACTAATTTTCTAATTTTGACTATTTTTTTACTAATTTTTTTCATTTTATATGTGACCAGCATGCTCAATCACTCTACGGCCCCAACTCACAGCCGCGTAAGTACGAATCCGCAAAAATTCGTTGGAATAGATAGAACAATGGATCTTTACAAACGTGTATTGGCACTAGCATGCTCATTCCCTCCCCCCTCCTTAGCTAAACTAAAAAAATTGTCGGAATAGACAGAGTAGAGTACTGACAAGGGAAGGAAGGTTGGTCGAAGTGACTTTTTGAGATGAGATGTATACTGTTTTGTAGAGCTTGGGACGCTGATTCCAAATCAGCCTTCGGTATCTGCTGCGGGCTTCTGGGCGAGGAGTTATAGAGGTTTTTGTGAATAAAAATCTGAACGCAGGAGTGGGGTAAAATCAGTCGTAAGCTTTTCCCAGCGTTCAAATGAGGCGGCAGCGAGTTGATATATTCAACTCAAGATTATTTGTTGCACTAAGTGACCCGAATACCAATTAAGCCCTATAAAAAATGCTACGGCTGATTTTAGCCTACTCTTCCATTCAGATTTTTACTCACAAAAACCTTCATAACTCCTCGCCCAGAAGCCCGCAGCAGATAAAGAAGACAGATTTGGAGTCAGCGTTCCAAGCTCTACAAGGCAGTATACATCTCCTTTTAAAAGGCCACTTCGACCAACCTTCCTTTCCTTGTGAGATGTGTGAATGAATCTACAATTGGCATGAATTTGTCCGACAGTTACCATCACACCGCCTATTGTCCCGAAGTTCAATCCTGCGACTCATCTCTGCTTAAAAGAACGTTATAAGTATGCACAGAGGTAGGGAAAATCTAGCTTCTTTTTTTTCTTTCCAGTACATATGGGAAAGAATATAGGCTTTTTGTATAGAGCAGCCTTTAGTTTTATCACCAGAGGCATAGTTACAGTGGTTCAGCCAACAACTAAATTAGAAAAAGAATAATTAAAACACTCGTCGCCCCATCTAAACTGCTCTTTGAACGTGTACAAAGTTATACTAGCATCAGCTCTGAGTCCACCACAATAATTTCAGAGATCTTAGGATTTTTTTTTTGAAATGCAGTTTGCAGAGGCGACATGATTTTGGAAGTTTGCCCGTATTTTTACTGTAATGAAAAAGAGTTGTTTTGCAATGGTACCATAGTATTCGTATTCTTTTGATCGAAATTCTCTGCACAACGTAAGTGCACTTGTATGCAAAACTTCTATTGGAGCGTAAATATCCCAATTTTGGCACTTGTATCAATGCGCCCCTCTGCTGCTGACCGCATTATCCAGGTGCAAACCCTAACAATGCCTCTTCACAGAGGAAACGTTTGAGTTGAAGTCATTCAAGTCATCACAAGAGTTGCAGCTGAAAGTGATCTTTGATGCATTCAGTGCAGGCACGTCAATGAACCATAGGGCATGATATTTCACAACAACTTCGAAAACTATCGCGGACTATTGTCTCGTTTTGGTGCTTTGACAACCTACTCTGTATATTCATTCAGCTAAATTGGACCTGTCAGGTTATTTATTTGATGAAAATATATCACGACAATATTCTACGATACCAGGAGTGGTGGTCAATTTGAAGCTGATGGCTGCGTTAGAACGAAGGCGAATGTCAATTACTAAGCACAGAACAGCATTCAACAATCGGGTCAATTCGAAACGCACAGATGTACGATGGTCGGCGTCATGAAGTGCCTTCATTTTCGATGATGGACCATCTGAAACATTCCCGACATTTCGTTCTAGTACGCCAACTTTCACCCCAAAATCGCCCGCAATTCGGCGTCCAGAAGCTGCTTGCAGATCTCAAAAGCGTGGGCAATCTCCATGGGCAATGGCGAAACCGTGCAAATCTCGCGAGCTGCGTAAGTACCGCAAATTCGAAAATTTCACGAACCCGGAGAGTACTGGAAATCGTGGATCCTAAGATTTTGCTCGTATCACGAAACTGCGTAAAACAATCGTACCATTGTCGTAACTGTACCCAGCTGGTGACGCTTTCATAAGAAATTGTTAGAACACTAACTAAAACTCGTACATAACTACTAACTAAAACTTGTATATGACTACTTTCAAAACCTTCTTCTGCCGTAGTTGACTGAACCAAAAACAATATAGAAAATTGAGTAGTCGTTAGGTTTGTATGCAGATAGCATAGCTGTATAATTACTATAGTCAGTAAATTACTAGGAGGGGTGATTGATAGTACATTTACCTCAATAGTAGTTTTCGCTCAAAGTAACTGATACGCTTCACCATGTAAAACAAATGTTAATTTTGAATGTGCACAGAGTAACAAAGTTAACGCAAGTACTGTGCTTTCTTGGTAATCACTGAAAATTCTGTTCGCTAACAGAGTTGCATATACAAAGGCCCAGAAAAATGTACTGATGTTTTGTTGCCCGGCAATAATACAAACGTAACAACACTGAACTAAACATCATTACCTCTCCAATCATTCTATTTAACGCCATAGGCAAGCTTTAGCTATCGCAATGGTGCACATATTTTTATTCAAACTTGTATGTTTCAGTCGTAAGCTCTTGCAAGAATAAGTAATCTACCCGATCTTTTAAGATGATTTTATTCCTTGCCGACTATGCGGTTCCTACAAAAGAAGTAGTTTTTGGAGCAGAAATCAGTAGCAGGGAAGCAATTTTTGGTGGAGAAGCCGTTGCCAAAGGAAAATCTGAGATTATTCATGGAAAAAAATTGCTCCTTGAGGAAAAAGAGTCCACCGAAAAAGAAGCATTCTCTAGGAGAAAAAAGAAGAGAAAATATTGCAAAGAGAATTCTCTCGGCAGGATACTGCGACGGTATTTCATCGTAATCTTGAAGAGAAGAAATTTCACGGTCAGTTGTGTTTCTGCGAGTTCCTCGCCAAATCCATGGTGAAAAAGCTAACACAATGCTACTTCAGTGTTTTACTCAGTGGTAATAGGAAAGATTTGTAAATTATCCACCACGGAGCATAACGTCTTTCAAAGACTATGAAACTGGTTTTTCAGTGCAAATCGGTTTCAAAATTGAGTGAGTACCTCCGAACAGGGCTATCACACAGCCGGTCCAACGGTTTTGTAGTTAAGGATCTGAAAATGTGCGTTAGAATCCACAATTTCAAACTGTTCCTTTATTTTTGGGAAACCTACTCAAGGTGTTTATTCGATTGCTAGAAAGTTTGCTGAAGAGAGTGCAAAGGAAATAGAAGAGGTACGTGAGAACTGTTGTACCCCGTAATTTTTGCGAAAGTCACCCACATGAGTTCCAAAACTGTGCAAGTGACTCGTTTTTTTAACGTTGAATTTCTCAAAACGAATAATGGGATTACAAGAGAGGATTCGATCAGCACAATCATTCCCTGGTACAAGAGAGGTGGACGGATACGGTGAGGTTCCAATTTTTGGCTCCCCAGTTCCCGATCTTTATAATGCACAGAATTTGTGAAACGACCTAGTGGGTTTTTCTGTGAAATCTATAGATACAAGTGATGATTTCTTTGGAAGTAATCTATATTACAGCTTGGCACGAGATGGCACAAAAGATTTGATTTTCCATTGAGGTCGCAAATAAAGTAAGACATCCCTACGAGGTGCTTATAAGAAAGAAAGCATGAAAGAAAAAAGAAAAAGGAAAACAGAATGGGACACACTGCGAGCGCCAAAATAAACAGTATCACTGTTGTTTGTAGCCTGACTGGCGACACAGCAGTGTTCGGTGGGCTCTACGGTACGCATGGATCAGAATTGCCGACACCTGATCTCTTTGGGGAGCTGAAATGACGAAGACTGGATGCAAAATGGTCAAAAACTAGCTTATTAGGCCTGAAAGTGGGAAAAGATATATAGAAAGGCTGGAAAATCATGTGAGTAAAGGCTAAAGCCCTGCTTTTTTTAACTCTGTGCAGCTTCAGATGATTTGACAGGTGGTACGAGGTTGCCCAACTTGAGCAAAGACCTCACCTTTATAAATTGCAAACTTTTTCTCGGTTTTTTGAACATTGTGTTAACTTTTTATCAAGCAAATACGCACCAAGTTGAGTACCATAATATCGTCTGTTCGTTATAAGCAGGCCACTTGTTTATCTTTATCTTTTTTTTTCTTTTTCAATTTTGAACTTCTGCGTTTGTAGTTAGAGCCTTAAGCCTTATTGAAGCTCGAAATGTTACTTCTGGACAGACTGAAATTGTCAGTGATGAGCACTTGGGACATCTACAAAGCTGAAGAGGTATGGAAAAATGGGCAGACGAAAGCAAGGGTTAATTGTGAGATACGAGACTAGTGTGACAACGGCTCGGAGAAGTTCTGTTCGTGGTATGCAATTTAGTTTGGACCAATGAGCGTAGTTGACCAGCCTTGGGAAGAAAACTTGTATGCAGCAGCTCAAGTCATGAGAGTTGGAAGCCAAGTGCCACCTGTGCTGAACCCTGATCTATGTAAATTATTGAAATGAGTGAGTGAACTACTCACTTCTAGATATTTAAAGACAGATTTCGTAACTTTCGTGTTGAATCGGTCCGAAAGTTCTTTCTTTATTTTCGATCCATCATAAAGACAGGTGGAAGAAAAATAGGCAAACTTTTTAAGCACTATTCAAACCAGCTATTCCTACTTTTTCAGTGTTTCTGAACTATCTAATATGTTCGTAGAAAAACGACAAGTTTCAGACCCCATGATTCTCCATGTCCAACCTTAGCAACTGTTCAATTTCCTATAATTCTGTTTTCTACTTTAAAAAATTTTTATTTTTAATTTCTGAAAGGTATTTCAATTTGGCTCCCCCTCTCGTGGAGAAAAAACTACGTCTGACATGGGCATGAAGTTAGAGGCAGTGGCTTGGCAGAATGAATGCTTGGTTTCACAGTCGATTTCTTTCGATCTTCTAGCCTCAGGGGCTTCGTCTCGCATAAAAATGATGGAAAATCCCTTATTGGACCCTCTTAGGAATAGCGTGGGTGAGTTGAGCCGCCCGCTCCAATGTCGGCTAAACTTCAAGCATGCCGGACTCTGTTAACTCTGTGAATTTTGCGTCTTGCTTTTGTGAACATGTTGTTAGTTGAGTCTTCGCATGAGCGGGGTGCAAAGGCGAGAATATTCCGTGTAAAGCCGGCGTCGCATAAGAAGCTTAGTTTAAGTGTTCCAGAGATGATTTCAGTCTAGCAAACTTAGGCGATTGCTTATGGGTCTTGAATTTTTACCCTAATTTCACGAGTGTAGGACGCGGGGATTTTTCTAAAGTCCAACAGCACAGACAAGCCGAAGGAGTTCGCGGCTTAGAACTATATAAAGTGCTGCATATTGCCTGAGAGTATCATGCGGCATAAGTCTCGTTTTCCAAAGTAAAGCGAGACGACTGAGAGGCTTGCTTAAAAGATCGAAAAAGGTGCGTTCTGTACTCGTGAATTTAGGATTTTTATTGGGCTCCTCAGAAGCCAGGATTTGGCGAGACACCGCTCAGGCATTGTCGGGTCAACCCGGGGGGGGGGGGGGGATTTTGAGACAGGTCTTGACGTGGTGAGCACCGTAGATCTAATGTATTAGCCTATTGACCACGTCAAACTTGTCAAGGAGGCGGGATTGGTCCCCTTTTTCCAAAGCGATTATCTTGCTTCAGAATCCATCTTTCGATCGGACTTAAATTTTAAGGGAGTCAGAGGCAAAGCGGTTTACGTATGCGATTACATCAGAGGAGAAGAAATCAAAAAATTTTCCGGAGGATCACTTCTTCGAATGACGGGCCGAAATTCTCCATCGGAAACGAGGTCTTCGTCAAGAATGAGGCCTCAGCGAAACCTACCTACAGCGAAACGTAGGTATCATTTTGTGTTTTGCATACCTCTGCTGTGCATCGTACAATTGATTTGATAAAGACAGCAAAGAATGACACGTGGATTAGATTATATTGTCTCATGTAAACACTGAAACGTTTTCAGACTTCTTGTTTATGAAGTTTTGTTCCAGACTTTTATACTTTGTTTGCAATTTTAATTCTGCAAAACCCTTTACATTGACAAAACATCATTTTGAAATTGAGAAAAGCCTTCTTGAGATATATGCGGATGGCTATGTGATAGGAGCTCAGAATGACTCTGCTGTACTAATTTTTGATAAATAAAAATTTCAGAGAGCGAAGACAACAACGAAGGAGAGGATATCGGACTTACCAACCAGAAACAAAGACAGGGGAGTGGCATGGTTGTCCCAGAAGCTAAGGAAAGCGTAATGGTGATATGCATATTTCTGCAAAGCGACAAGCAGGCAGCCCAATAAAATTGAGATAGAAACTCGTAACAAATACCATATCATAGAGCGCACTGAATACTATTATATGCACAACTCATCAACTGCTGATATATCAAGGGATAGTAACATAAGTATATTACTCGGGATTTTTTTTATCAAGTCTTGAGTAAATACGACATATTGCTGACAAGCTGAGCAAGTTTAATTATGTAGCGAAACTATTGTGTGTGCGTTGATACAATGCAACTTTCGTCGCGACTCAATTATATTCAAACCAAAACGCATCGTATCTTACAATGATAGTAAATTGCGAAAATTACGTAATTACGTTGAGTTTTGATACTTACGATTCTGTCCATTTCAGAGCAATTTCGATAATCGGCTTAGAAGGCCTCAAAACAACTGTGCGCTGTTGTGCTACTAATGTTGATAACTTACCATTTAATCAGATCCTGAGCAACTCAGAGTGTCAATAAGGAGAAGACACATGGAAAAAGGCAGAGACTGATTGAGCAGTAGCTTGCTTTCTTGAGAGCAACCTCTATGCATAACATGTTTTTTTCATGCGGAAAGCCAACATCGACTTTGGATTCTCAACTTCCCTTGTGAATAAGTAGATGAACTCACGCAGGGAGAATACATGTGTATCAACGGGATGAGAATTTGAACTACAACCATGATCACATACCTCTCTTGGCTCTATTCGGTGACCGCACGCTAGCTCATCTTAAGACGGTATTTCCCTTTGATTAATCCCAGTAATTTGCGAATTTCGTCCTATCCCTTTTTTTCATAATTTTCAATGCCTTCTAAGAGCTTCCTCCATTCAAA